ACTTAACTGATTCAAGAAGTTTCTGATTTTTGGCCAATTTTTTCGCTGCGTGTGAATTTTGCTTCACAGTTCGATTTGCGAAATGAAAAAATAATGCTGCCCACAGCCTGCTGCAGCAATACGATTTTCCAGTCTGTGATTTTAACAATGTTTCATAATTATTGTTGTTGTTTCTTCTCTCTCTCTCTCTCGCAGTCTATATTTCTGCATTAAACATGACCACAAAATGAAATATCAAATGTCACAAATAATTTACAATTGTCGCGCTTAGCTTGAACGACTTGCTGCTAGTACGTAGTAGTTAGTTGTTATTATTGTTGTTGTTGTTGTTGTTGCTGTTTCTATGTGCAACTATAGCTGTACTATGTGGCTCGGAGCAACGATCGATATAGACTTCAAGTCAGCCCAAACAGTTGCCATTGGTCGAGACGAAGCGAACGCGCTACAAATGAGAAAAGATACAATGCAACATACTCGCATGGGGTTGTTGTTGTTGGCCAGACGGACTGACTGGCTGCCTAGCTGGCTGATTGACTGTCGCCCAGCGGCAAACACGTTTAACCACAAAGAATGGAACGAAGGAAGCAGAAAGTAGCCGTCGCCGTCGCCGCCGCTGCCGACGCTGCTGCCTGCAGACGATCAATGATTGCGTTGCTGGCTCCGCCCGTCCTTCAGTCCCATAATATCCTGCATTGCAGGACACCATGGGACAAACATATGAATTTTTGGCCACATTTCATTGCTACGTGATTGACAAGGATTCGGCAAGGTACACATATGATTAAAATGCCGATTCTCTAGAAAATATTATTTATAAATAGATACAGAAACGTTTGCATTTATTTTCATTTTAAAAATCTTCGATTTTAGTTTGTTTTCAATATTTTGTGTAATTACATTTTTTTTCTTCTTTTTTTTATAATTTTCAAAACATTTTAGGAATGCAGCTTCAGGCTGAAAATTAAATTAGTGGAAGCTCTCCGAAACCCTCATTTTCTTCAACATATGGAATATCTTACATGCCTGTTTGAGAAACCATTATTGGAAACAGAGCTATAGTCACGACCTAGAATTACTTTTTATCTTTTGCTACTCTTCTTCCTATTTCACAATGAAAAGACAGTATTCGAAAGACTGCTTTTAATTAACTTGGACGAGTAGTTTCAAATAATTTTTAAACAAATTGAGGCGAGGTTTTTATATGATAAACAGCCAACAAAACTTATAACGAACTTCGAAATAAATACAAGTCAATGTTAAGTCCTGGTAGTTAAAATGTTATAAAGCCAATTGGTAGAAAACAGGCCAAACATATCTGATCGGGAGTAGCGAATTTTTTTCAGAATAAGCTCTTACTCCTTCCTACATCATTCTTCAATTTGGCTGTTGATTGCTAAAGCCATAAACACTTCTATATATGTATGTTTTACTGAGAAGGCCGAAGGAATATTGCGAATAATGTTAATCAAAAAATTGAATCCCCAATAATAAGCTTCTAATTATTATTCATTTATTTACACACAAACGGTAATTCTTTAAAAATTAGTTTGCTTTTCTGTTGAAACTCATTTCCTTGAATCCAAATTTTTTTTCCTAAATGAATTATTAAAAATATGTCAAGAAATGTTCCTACCTTACGATTATGCATTATATTTCTATATATTATAAATAAAATAAATACTTATTCCTAATTAAAATCTACATAAAATATTTTGATTTATGGCTGAATAAATGTGCCTGTCTTTAAAATAACTTTTACACTAAAATTTCCTAAAGGGAGGCCATTTGGGAAGGAACGTTTTGTTTTAAAAATCTATGATAAGTTTTTTATGGATAAGTTTTCAATTCCTTACTAAGATATATTTTCAAAATATTTATTTAAAAATAAAAGCTACTTTTTTCAACCCTAGATTTAAGTTAATTACTTGTAGAACAAGTGTTCAAATTTTTAACTAAATATTGTTTTAGAATGAATTCTTCACTTGCTAGAAAACTGAAGTGAAGAATTTTAATTAAATTTTTGAACTTAAAACCACCTTTGACCTTTTTTTTTGATAGCTTTTGATTTGTTAAGGATATGCTTTTATAATTAAATTTTTAGTATTATTTTAAGATGCGAATTCTACGCAATTTATTTAACCTACCGCTTATTTAAACAGCAATTGAAATAATTTTTGATAATTTTCGACATATAATTAGAAAATGGTATTCAAGGAAGGAATAATCGATTGAGTAATAAATTGATCAGTGAGTAGCAGGATTGTTAGATGTTTGATCAACATCTTTAGACTAGCATTAGGTGTTATTAAGTGCAGTAACAGATATAAGAAAGCAGAGATACAGCTAGATTTGTAACAGATTTGTTAAATACCCTTATGTCAAATATGTAAGATAAACATATTTATAAACATGTGAAGACATTTTTAGCATACAATAATAAATTCTTATAAATTCTACCATACATAATAATTAATTCTACTTTAATAGAAGAAAATTAAAAAGAATTTAAATTTTACATACCCTTATGTCAAATATGTAAGATGAACATATTTATAAACATTTGAAGACATTTTTAGCATACAATAATAAATTCTTATAAATTCTACTAAAGTACTCAATTCCTCTTTAATAAAGGAAAACTAAAGATCCAAATGAAATGGGGAAGAATCGTAAGTAATTTTTTTTTTTCGAAAGCTCAAGATTTCGTCCTGCGCTTGGAATTTGATTTATGCCCAATGATGTTGCACTTCTAGCCCATGATGCAGCGATTTGCGTGCGGCATTTGCTCCGCTTGCCGGGCATATCTGGTGTCAAGAGCTCTACAGATATTGGGTGACAAATAAAAACTACTGAAAACTGCTGCCGCTGTCGCTGCTCGCTGCGTATGAATGGACTGGTCCGGTGATTGAGTTCCGGGGTATTCAGGGAGGAGGTAGCCGCAAATGCCGGTATGTGACGAGCGCATTGGTTGGCTGCTGGTGGTGGTGATGGTGGTGGTGCTTGGTGCTCGGTGGTTGCTGCCGTTGGCTGGAGGTTGGCGGGGTGTCTCCGTCTCTGTAAGGGTCTCATGAGTAGTACCCGTACTTGTGTCATTGTCGCTACTTTGTATGTAAGTGTGTGTTTTTTTTTCGACGTTGTCTTTTGCGCCCTTTTGTCGCTTGTTTATAATTAAGTGAGTATTTTTTTTTTGTCTTGTGGTTGTCGCTTTGCCGCTGTTGTCTCACTGCCTGCACCGATATTGGTCGAAACAGTTCGAACTGACAATTAGTTGCTAACTTCTGCTCGTCGCCGATAGTCGGTTTTTTGCCCCCGCATAGGCATAAGTCTATCTCTAGAGATTGCACTCACAATAACAACAACTATATCCCAAAACAAAGTTCCCACAATTGGCTGCACTTTCAAAATTGTTACAAACGTCATCATTTAGTTGGTCAATTGTTTAACAGTGTTTCAGCGAAGCGTTGAAAAAAGTTGTACAGAAAAAATCAAATAAATTTTACAAAACTAAGTGGCGCGCATTGATCATGAGTTCTAGATATTGTTTAAAAAGGTGCGAGTAAATAAATTATAAATAAATATAAATTTGTGCTTAAATAAATGAATTATAATAAGCAAAATGCAGCTCTAGTGACAATAATTCAAGCCATTACCACTGATAAATGGATATTACAAATGATTAATGAGTACATTAAAAATAAAATTTAAATCCAAGTTAAACTCTATAAGAAGTTTATGATATAACTACAAGTATTGTCTGATAAAATCAGCTTAAATTTATCAAATACTATCAAGACACACCCTTAAACAAAGTGAAAGATCTGCTCTTAAACATATTGTAAAAAGTCTATTAATATAGTAGTATTCCACGTACAAATCCAATAAGTTGCTTAAAGATTTAAATATAATAGAAATGTTTCAAAAAGCAGCAAATAAAATAAAATAAATGAATATTAAAAAACCTGGAAAATGGGTAATAATTTCAGTGTTCTAGCTCAGTGTGATATTAGACTTTAAATTAAAAAAAGTCCTAATTGTTGCTTCTTTTCTAGCATAGTTTATATTAAACGGATCTATGTTATTTTCCAACTAATGATCAAATGGTTTTTTGAATTTCTGTGCTATATGTTTTGATTTTTTACAAACATATTTGAAGGTTTCAAAAATGTTCAATTATTTTTCGATTTATTAATATTAAAAATCACATTACAACTCAACAACTAAAATAAAAATAAAAATAATGCTTTGTGTACACAATTTCTGACGCCAAATGTTTGACGTTTTAAAGTGAAAACTTTTATTTTGCCTCCCGCTGTAGAGTTTGGGATTAAAAATAAATTTATAAATGTTGCTTCTTTTCTAGAAACGTAAAGATTTTTAAAGTCCTGTGCCATACCTCATAAAAGAGAGCTTTTAACTTTTTACAAACATATTTGGAGGTGTTTCAAAAAGTTGCAAATATGATTTATTAATATTAAAAATCATATTACAACTAAAATAAAAATAAACAGAATGCTTTGTATACATAAATTCTGAAGCAAAATGTTTGACGTTTTAAAGTGAAAACTTTTATTTTCCCTCCGGCTATAGTGTTTGAGTTTTAAAAAAATTTATAAAATTTGCTTCTTTTCTAGGAACGTACAGTTTTTTGTGCTATACCTCATAAAAGAGTGATCTTAACTTTTTACAAACAAATTTGGATGTGTTTCAAAAAGTTGCAATTATTATTTGATTTATTAATATTAAAAATCATTTTACAACTCCACAACCTAAAATAAAAATAAACAGAATGCTTTGTATACATAAATTCTGACGCAAAATGTTTGACGTTTTTAAGTGGAAACTTAGAATTTGTCTCCCATACTATGAAGCTTGAGTTTAAGAACTAAAATGTGCTGCTTTAAGATAAGAATTTGGAGCAGCCTTTAAAGTTTCTTGTGATATTTTGCAGCTTGAATTCGAGGCAACAAAATGAAACGTAGAAAAAGCCGAAAACCTAAAACTCAAAAGCTATACGTTGAACACAAAAGTTCCAGAACTGGAGTCATGTCATGGGATTGTTATATAAAGGTTCCAAACTCTTGAACATAATTCTGGGTGAGTACAAACATACTTGTATTTTCAATTCACATTTAACCCCCCTGAATGCCTGAGGTGTGAGTTCGATGCCACTTTTCAAGGCCTCTAACATATTCATAATACATACTATGTATGTATGTATAGTATATACGAGTACAATATGTTGGTCAATGAACGGCAGACAGTCAGGGCTGGGATGTTGAACGCGAATCCGAATGCGTCGCAACCACATCTGGAGAGGTCGAGGAGCGGAAAGCAAATGGCGAATGTTAGTTTGCCGCTGTTTGTAATCTGTTCAGTGTCTGTGTATTGGTGTGTGTGTGTGTGTGTTTGTGGGCGGAGTTTTGCGGCGCGCACAGTGGGCTGTGTGAATGCAAAACCCGTTTGAAAATTGTCAAATATTTGGTGCCGGCATTCCAATAAATATCTGCGTATTTTTCTCTTTCTTATTTTTTGGCACACCTGCGCACAGATTCCCTGGAAGATCAAGAGGGTGGAGCTATGTACATATCGTGCGATGTCTCAAACGGAGGTCCTGTGGAACCAGAAACGGGCTATGTGCCCAACAATCCATTATTCGGTCTGGCGCTGGACAGTCCGCAGGTATATTTAACGCACAAATTATTCGTGATTATTAGTGAAAAGACTTAAAAAAAAAAATAAAAAATAAGCATCTTGTAAGAATCTGAGACTACTTGTATCTCGTATTTTCATTATCGTGTATGTGTTTGTGGATTATCGTTGACAGCAAGAGTGCGCCGCTTCCTGCGTTGGCTGCTTATCCTGCCAAGGCAACACCGTCCTGCCCATACCCTCACTGACCAGCAGCGACTTCGATTGCGGCTCCTGTTTCGATACCAGCATTGGCGGCGTTCTAGGCAGCGCACAAATCAATACAACGCCGCCGGCCAGTAATTTATCAGCGGGCAACATCAACGGTGGCAACGGAATTGGCGGCGGCACCAACGGCGTCAGCTACTGGAGCACCGATGAGATGGCGTCCACATTTCCCGGCCTGCCCCCACTCGACATTGATCCGCTGCCCAGTCTGTTTCCCTTCTCCCCGTGCGGCGCTTCATATAACTTTGCGGCGAATCCGCATCAGGCCTCGTTGTCCTATACTGTGCATCCCCACCAGATGCTCATCTCACCCAATAGCCAGTCGCAATCGCAGCAGACACAGCAGCAGCAGCAGCAACAACAACAACAGCAGCAGCAACAACATCAGCAGCAGCAAGGACAACAGCATCATGCCACACACCATCATCATCACCATCATCCCCCGCACCATCAGCAGGCCCAGCATCATCATCCGCAGCAGTCGTCGCACGGTAGTAATGCGCTCCACAACAGCAACAGTGGAAGCGGGGCAGCTGGGGCTGTTGGTGGTGGCAGTTCCTGCTACTACGATGCCGCCAGCTCGGCGGTAGCTGCACAAAGCGGCGGCGCGGGCGCCACGGCCCATCCGGCCGCCCTCTACCCCAGCATGAGTGTCAACGTGAGTATGAACATGACCATGCACGGCTATGGGGCGGATGGCAGCGGCATGCCCATGCAGTGCTCCCAAATGAATTGGACACCACCGAGCAGTTCGTCGGCCGTTAATGTACTCTATCCGCCGCTCTTGAGCCCCACACACTATCCCGCCTCGGCCACCTATTCCTTTACCGCGGACTTTCGTGCGCCTGCTCTGCAAACCAATCAGGCGGCGGCAGCGGCAGCGTTGGGCGCCTTGCCTGCGCTCGCCGAGGCACTGGCCACCACGGATAAGGATTCACCCTCGCCCACAGGCTCCACAGTTGCAACGCGCGCCTATTTTGGCGGCAGCCAGAGCTATACGCCACCACCAGCTGGTGGAGCGGCTATAGCGGGCGCACCACCACACAAGAGCCCCAGCTATCAGTCCTTGGGTCTGGGACTGGGCACCTTTGAGGATGACGAGGATAGCAATGAGGAGGGTAGCGCCGGTGGCGATATGAAGCCGAATCTGTGCCGGCTATGCGGAAAGACCTATGCCCGACCCAGCACACTCAAGACGCACCTACGCACCCATTCGGGGGAGCGACCCTATCGCTGTCCCGACTGCAACAAGAGCTTCTCCCAGGCCGCCAATCTGACAGCACACGTACGCACACACACCGGACAGAAGCCGTTCCGCTGTCCCATTTGTGATAGACGTTTCTCACAAAGTTCCAGCGTCACCACGCACATGCGCACGCATTCCGGCGAGCGGCCCTACCGCTGCTCCTCCTGCAAAAAGTCCTTCTCGGACAGCTCCACGCTCACCAAGCACTTGCGCATCCACAGTGGCGAGAAGCCCTATCAGTGCAAGCTCTGCCTCCTTAGGTAAGTGTCCACAAGCCTTTTAGTATACCTACATATGAATGTATCTACATACTTGTATTAGAGATGGGCATGGGCCGGCTATATGCACTTTTAGAAACACGCACGCGCAAGCACGACGAATATTTTTCTAAACACGGCCCAACACGAATCTGTTATAACCATTAAATGTAAAAACTAAAGATATGATATGGATATATCATATTAATATAATATCATATCATATAAAGCCCTTCAAATTTGTGTTAAGAGATATTTACTTATCTATATTTGAGCTAAGAAGCTGAGCTAGCCGCTCATTTGAAATTTGTCCAGAATTAGAAAAAATTCGTTCACTTTTTTGAAGAGCTGACAGGGATATTGAGTATATGTCTTCATATATGCCTGAGAAACTCAGCATTTTTTGCTTTTTTCCAGCATGCTAACACACAAATTCCTGGATCCACAGCACTACTTATAGTATACACCAAATTGTTTTTTTACATGGTAGATTGGTTCCAGAGACAACCGTGTAAAATAAGACATTGATCATATGCAAAAATAGGTGGTTGGTTCCTTATCTCTAAAGAAATATATATGAAATTTTTAGTTTTCAAACCGTGTTTTATCAAAATTGTGTTAAAGACCGTGTAAAATAAATTCCCTTTTATTAGGTGTATAGTCAATATTTCAATATATATTATTGACCTGCACAGAAAAATTATTTTGCTTGGCTTTCTGATTCAAATATTAAATCGCTATTTAAGTCCTAATTCCGTTTGTATCGGAACTTATAAAATGTCTATCCTTAAAAAGTGGACTTAACCCCAACAAATTAACTGGAACTTAAAGCGATCCAATTTCCGATGTATTGCCATTATTTACCCAACTTTCGTTTTTTTTTTAATTAGTTGTTAATTTATTTTCAAGCTATGTGCGTGCTTTTTGCGCGCCTTTATGGCTCAACAAGAACACGCAAGGCCACGCACGATATCGGAATTTGCAACACGAACAGACGTGTTCACGCGTAGCACAAAGTGCAACGACCGAAAGCACGTGCCCAACTCTAGTACAAATAGTTAGGGTTCCATTTTTTCTAAAGTTCTAATAAATAAATACAATACATTACATAAAAAAAAACTAAATTAAATTAAAACAAAAATATTTGACATTAAAGCTTAAGAGTTTGTAACATTGCTAAAATATTAATTATACGGTATTTAAAAGAACACCCTTGTTAAACCCAAACCCAGATCTTATTTAGGGAGTGGCAAGCTTGTTTTGTAACGTTATCCAATATATGTATTAGTATGTGGATATTCGAAGAAAACTACCATTCGGGAACTACTAAAGGCCATTATAGTATAACTAACCGATATCTAAAAATACCTAAGCGACTATGTATATATATACATATGTATGTATGTATATATTGATTTTGATGATGTGTGAAAAAACTATTTAGAGATATGTAGTACATACCAATGCAGGAAATAAATTGCCTAAATGGTATGAAGGGTATTCAAATAGTATTACAAGTAGGTTTCTGCGAAGTGAAAAAATAGCAGGCAGAAGAAAGCATTACCGAGCCCATAAGGTACATATGTATATAGTATGCTTGATCAGCTTTAGTCGGTCTGTCCGTCCATCCGAACACCTAGAACTTAGAAATAATAATTCAGATAGAAAATCTTATACACATTCCTTATATGTGTACTCGGTACAAGTGTGTTTAAAGCTTTCCTCCTTTCCCCGCTACAAAATATCATCAATACTGTCTTCTTCTCCTTATTAATTGGTTGATTTGGGTACAGCATTCTCTCTTCTTTTATATATGTATACGTACATATGCAAGGGCGCTGGCAAGGGGGCAGGGGGGGAGCCCTTGCCTCCCCCCAAAAAAAAAATTTCTCCATACAGAGTCGACCACACGTTCATTATTATGACGCACTATTTCCTTAGAATGGAACTGAGTTGGATTTCTTGAAGTTTTTTCATTGATCATGTGCATAAATTATTTTTTAATTGCATCGTGTATTATTTAATCAAAATATTAATTTTTTGGACCCCCCTTTGGTAGAAGCTGCCTACGCCCTTCTACATACATATGTATGTAGATATGACAATATACTTCGCTCTAGTGATCCTTTTCTATATGCTGTGGCCACCATTCGAGTATGGCGGTTCCAGAAAGCATATTTAGAGAACAGACAGATGTTTATTTCAAGTTTCCCCCTCTTCTATAGTAACTTATCTAAGTATAAACAAAACTGGAATGAATTGAAGTTCATTATTTTTGTAAAAGATTTTTATTTAGTATTACGAATGCGAAGAAAATTTAAAAAAAAAAAACATTTTTTCAGGACTAACTAAATTAACTTTTGATTAAAACGACGAATAAAAGATTAAAGGAATTACAGAAAATTCAAAAGGGCGAAAAATTATAGACTTCATTCCCAATTTAAAAAAAAAATAAAAAATGTGCTACATTCAAATCATCAAATATTGATTCTCCGACATTTTCAAATATTATTAAAACTGATCAATTTAAAAAGCATATGTTCAGTTGTTTTAGCCAACGCATATTTTAAGATGCCTCAGCAGGAATCCCTCGAGGACGTATTCGCGCCCGCATCGTGGGCACTTAAACTTGGCCTTCTTCTTGGTTTTATCATGGTGCTGAGGCAGTTCATCGTGCTCGGATTTGGAATAGTTGGCGCGGCAATTGTCGCAGGAAAATCGCGGCTTCACCTTTCCCGAATCGAATACCACCTTGAAGTCCTGAAAGCACACCAAACAGTTGAACTGTTTAATGACCACCGCTTTGCCATGCTTGCCGAACTGAGTGTCGAATCTGTTCTCGTCACAGAATCTGCGCTTGCAACAGAAGGGTTCAAAGTGGATCTTCGTGTGCTGGCTGAGACCGAGTTTCGAGCCAAAAACCTTGCCACACTCATTGCATTGGTGCTGTTCACCGTTCCCCTCGCATTCCCTTTGCACGCAGCTGCGCATGTGCAGCCCAAGGCCGGCTGACGTGGCATAGCTATGGTTGCAGTTGCTGCAATTGTAGGATCTCTCCCCGTTATTACCGATGTGCTCGGTTTTGTCATCAAACGCAATGTTTTGCTTCCGTTGCGCCTCATTTTGGTTGGGCGGCGTGAGCGCAATGAGCGTAAAGGGGCTTTTCTCAAAAGCTTCCTCGTCTATGATGCAGTTGTCGGCCAAATCCCGCAGCGATATCTCTTTCCCGTTCTCATCGACCACCACCTCATTTGATATGTCCATGCTATCCGACTCCCAGTCGCTTTCAGTGACCACCGATCTCTCACTCACAGCGACGTCGTCATACTTGGTACTGTATTCTGTCGAGCTGGTATTATTAAAATCATCCGGATCCAGTTCTGTGATTTCGTAGTAAACCATGTTTTCTCTATCGGTTATATTTTCATCATCGTTGGGCATATTATTTTGCTCGTTGTGTTGGGAGTCCATTACGGCTTGCAAGTTCCTTCGTTTAACCTCAAACATTAATTTCGCGTCGCTTTTCGGCAATATTAGACAATTTTCTCTTTTGCGTGCAATGGCAACACCTTTTTTTTGACTTACCCCAACTAGTAACACACTGTTCAAAATGGCGTACATCACTGTAGTTGCAATTTGTGAATTGGCAATTCATGATTTAAGTGGAATTTCTAACCAATTTGATAAATTAAATCAATTTCTATCTAATCATAATAAGACAATAATGGAAAGCTAGATTGTTGTGTCTATCGTGTGTGTGTGTTTGTTTGTGTGTGTGTGTGCAGAACAGCGATGAGGCAAAGCAACAACAACAATACGCGGCTTTTACCAAAGGGGGGAGCCAAAAAATTAAAATTTTAAAAAACAATTTATTCATATGATCAATGAAAAAACGTCAACAAATCCAACTCAGTTCCATTTTAAGGGAAATAGTGCGCCATAATAATGAACGTGTGGTTGACTTTATATGGCAACATTTTTTGTACTCCCTTGGCTGCGGGCAGAGCTTACGTATACATACAAATATGTAAGTATGTGTGTCAATGCAAGAGAGCAGATAGGCACTAATTGAAAATAATGAACAAGTTTGAGAAGTAGTAAACCCTTTTATCCTTTGTGTAAAATAAAATTAACATAAATTTATGGTAATTAACAAGATAGAACGCTACAGTCGAGCAAGCCCGACAGTAAAATAGCCTGTACTCTCCACAAAAAAAAAAAATTAAAAAAATATTTTAAAAAATTTAACTATTAAAAAAAATTGAATTAATTTATTAAATTAATTAAGAAAATGTAGTTAATACATATATATTATATAGAAAACATGTTTATGTACAGTTTTACATTTACATCACGTGTCTATTTGTATTTACATATATGCGTGTATGTATGTATGCAGCACAAAGTTGAACCAAAGCAGCAACAACAACAGCTGCGGCAGCGCTGCAAGCAGAGCATGTGCAGCGATTTTATTTATGTCTATAACTTTCTTCAGAATTGACCAATCATCATGAAACTACATACGGACACATAATCACTAACTGGATGTGACTAACAAATTTGAGTTCGAAATTTATGGAAAAAAAACACGAATTGCGGGGGAGTGGGGGGTGTATCAGAAAAAAAAACACACACTCGATCTGCCTAGGGCTTAGTCGAACCTGAATGTCAAGTTTGGTTATCTTAGCTATTGTAGTTAGATCGTTGCGCTCATACAGACAGACGGACGGACGGACAGACGGACATGGCTATATCGACTAGTCTTGTCACCCTGATTAAGAATATATATGTATACTTTGTGGGGTCTGCCACGCCTCCTTCTGTGTGTTACATACATTCGCACAAAACTAGTATAGCCTTTCTCCTTTTGGGTACAGGCTATAAAAATAAGTCAACTTTTTTTAAATTTTGTTTTTCGTTCACAAATATGTTAGCGATAATAGGTACATATGCATGTATGTATGTATGTGACTGGAAGTAATGGATTCTTTTTTGTTTACCTTTCCACAGATTTTCGCAGTCGGGCAACTTGAATCGGCACATGCGCGTTCATGGCAACAACAACAACGGCAGCAATGGCAGTAATGGCAGCGGTAGTGGCGGAAATGGCGGTGGAAGCAACATTATCACATGACAAAAACCACGCAGTGCTGGCGGTTTTCAACACTACCACCCCCCGCACACGCACCCGCACGCACACGCACATCCGCACCATCCCCATCATCTGCATCATCACCATCATCATCCCCATGCCCACCACACCCACACCCACATGCCCCTTACAACGGGCCATGCCAATTACGATTACGGCAATTATAGCATCAGCGACTACACTCCACCCGGCGCTACAGCCACACAAAACTATTCAGGGTACTATTTTTGCGCACTCAACAAGCCACCCAAGTTCGAGCGTTTCTATTAAATAGCAGCAGCAGTCAAAAAAGAAGGGGAAGAAACAACAGCAACAAATGCAACAAATTGAAATGTAGTTGAAAAATGCTCAAATTCGAAATCAATCAAACAACCAATCTTAGGCTTACAGTCCATATACGTATATATACCTATTATTATGTGTATGTATGTATGTATGTCTAACTGTTTATGTATATAACTCATATTGTATTTATTATTCATATATTCATAAGATTACCGAGGTGACATTAAAAAACCAACAGAGTCATAACATCAAACATTTTAAATAAAAAAAAAACCTGCCCAAATAAAACGCAATTTTGTTTGAGTATATTCGTTTTGAGATGTTGTGAATCTGTTTAGTTTAGATAATGTCGCTTAAATTAGGGCATATAGTTGAAAAACACGCATAAATCTATTCAAAATTAGCCAACGAAATATGCATTAAGCCTAAAATAAGTGTTCCAATAACACGCTCCCATACATAACACCACCACATCCACACAACACGGAGACAGACGCATACAAGAAATCGCTAAACCATATTTATAGGATTTAAAATTAAGACAGGTGCTTTGATTTAAGCCAATTTTGCGTACTTAAATAAAATTTAAAACAAAAACAATTGAAATTTTAACGAACTACTTATTTGGTTTCAAATGCATTTGGGAAAAAATATCAAGTGAGGTGAGTTTTAATTTATTTTTATATTTTGTAAATATGAATGGTAGCAAAAACTTGAAAAACTTTTTTAAATGTCAATGTAAACAGACTGATTTGGGATAAATCAAAGTGCTGCTTTAATATTGAAAAACTTTATTTTCAAACTCTTTTGTAAAGTTTACTGTTAACACAGACTGGTTTGGGATAAACAGAGTACTGCCTTTATATTGAACAACTTAATTTTAGAGAGAATGTCGCTAATTTTATTCACGCGTCAGTCCAAGAACTTTTTCAATTTATTTTAAGAAATGTATTGATATTATTAAGAAAATATTCACAAACAGATACCGTGCTTACAATTCGAGAATTGCTCCTCCTCTTCCATCACTGGGCTTAGAAATAGTAATACTGAAAAGTAACGTGTGGCTGACTTTGGTTAATGAACTTATTGGCCCCACTCTGCGCTGGTCACACTAAATTGGATTCAGACCGATTTGAAGACCTTAAAATTTTTTTTTGCCAGTTGGTGCATGACGTGAAAAATCAGTTGCAGGTGCAGGAATTTCTAAAAAGTGGTTTAAGATTAAAAAAATTTCTTATTCAACAGAAAATATGGAAGAAACACCTTTAAGTAACAGGTAAATGGATTTGGAGATGAAACCTACCTATAGATAGCCTATGTGCCTACTAGATTTTATTTTCAAATCGAAAATTACACACACACACACACTTAAACGGCCGTACTGAGACACGTGCATGCAAATGGGATGGGTAGAGGGGCATTGCTTCCTATTGGGAGGACACTTAACAGAGCGAGCCCAAGAACGTGATTTCAAGTCATACTTGTAATTTAACCGTTTCAACTTTTTCTTTAGCATTGATGACAACAACAAGGTAAACGCCAACGATATTGATATGTTCGTCGCTAACCAATTTCTGGCACCCATCGCCTGTTACGTCGAATGTCCATATATGCCAACCGAAGAACTTAACAACTTGTACGATAATGTCGAAAGTTTGCTGCCTCAGCACCAACTAGACATTAAGAATATATCCGATATGGAACTGACTGCGAGCAGTAATTTCAATTCGCAGTTGGATGCTTCGACAGGCAGGAAGCCAAGGATTCTGTTTAAATGTAGCTTCTGCCCCAAGGAGTTTGATGCTAGCTGGAACCGAAATGTGCATCAGCGTGGACACTTGATGCAAGAGAAGATCGAGTTCAAGTGCCCCGAAACCACATGCGGCCGCGTCTACTATAAAAAGTGAATATGCTTATATACATAATGTAGCCTGCCTGAGAATTCGGTACATTCTGATCTTTTCAGGCCCAGTCTGCTCTATCATCAGCGCACCAAAGGACACCATGATTGGAAGTTTCGTTGCATAAACTGTAACAAGGCTTTTCAGAAGTATTACATGCTGATGCGTCATATCAACTGCCAGACTTGCGTTAAAAGATTTATTTTATACAAAAAATGAATAAACAATTAAATTTTTTATGTTTTGCTAAACATTATCGGCTAAGAATACAATTTCGGCATCGCTACCACAAACTAGACGCATGCCATGCACATCGATCGAATTGATGGGTTTGCAGACATTGCTTAGCACGCCCTTCACCTTGACCAGATCACTGACACGTTCTCCACAGAGCCAGGCGCAATAGTCCTCCTGTTCTTCAGACGCATTTATGAGCGACTTTTGCTCCGACCAGAGCCACACCTCACCCGATTCGGCGGCAGTGAATAGCTTGGTGGGATCCTTGGGGTGGAAGGCAATATCTGTGATGCGACTATTGTGTGCGCCTAGATAGGAGGCAGGATACCGTAAATTACGCAAATCATAGACACTAATGGAGCCCTCTTCGCTGCCACAAAGCAGAATATGCTTCTGCATTGGATGAGTGGTCATGCAGGATACACCATTGAAATTCTTTTCATCCTGACAGCCGACGACAAAGGCTATATTAGGTTGTGCCTCATTGCTGGCGCGGGCATCGAACATGCGTACCACTCCCATGCCATTTGCAGTGAAGATTTCCTGATGATTCGCATACACAACGGCGAAAAGCGACACACTATCCGCTTCAATGGTACGCTTCACCTGCTGCAAATTGTCAGCATTAACTACATTGAGACGTCCATCATCTCCAACTGTGGCTATATCGGTCCCAAAGGTGGCTACGCCAGTGCAGGACGCCGATCTGCTGGTGTTGGCGCTTTTGAAGTAGTGCAAGAGCTCGCTGCGCGCTTTACGCTGAATCTGATCCTTTTCCACGGCGCGTTGCACTTTCAAAACGCTGAGATGGCCTGCAAAAAGATTATATACATATGTATATGAAATCAAATAATAATTGAAAAAGTTAATTCGAGTGCACTGACTTTGAAATACTCTATGTCTATGTGTAGAAAATTTGTATAAGAGCACTCCGACTTTGAAATACTATGTACATGCATAGTGTAATTATATAATTAATTATTGAAAAAATTTAAGAAAATTAAAAAAAAATTACAAAATTTTAATATTAAAAATATCTTTTTTGGATCAATTATACTGCCTTGAGTATCCGAACTCCCGTAAAGGATGTATGACTGACATTTCCATCGAAATTGTGTCTATGTGTGCCTAAGTTGAGCAAAAGCGGCAACAAAAACAACAGCTGCAGAGAGAAATTAGATTTTTGGCAATAACTTTCTTTAGAATTGGCATATCACAATTGTTATATTTTATTAAAAATTTCAAGAAATACAGGAGTTATGGAAAGTCCTATAGTTCGAGATAATGCTCGTTTAGTCTCTGTTCATACGGACGGACAGTCACGGCTAAATGTACCCCACTCGTCATGCTGATCAATAATGCATGCGGAGTCTGCCACAAGACTTATGTATATACTCTTATACTCTTTAGAGAGTTTACGAATTCGCATGCTTATTGAAATTGTTCTTTTTCCTCACCATCACCGCAACCAACAGCAAGAGTATTTTTGTCCACGAATTCCATGCCAGTTACATCGTCCTCCATGGACACTTTGTCATGGCAGCAAGGCACAATTGGCACATTCTGATTCACATATGGATTTTGTTGGAGGCGCCACAGACGCACATAATTTTTGGCTATATCCCAGCTGCCGGTGACGAAGCGATCGCTCTGCTGTTGCAGTTCAGGTAGCCATCGCACCTGAGAAACTTTTTCCGATATGTAGTATGTGGTAACGTTCTGGGCGTTTGTTCCCGTCATATTTTGTCGCCTTTTCTTATCAATTTTAAAGCATAAAACGTTTGCTAACCACAAACAAACATTTAGCCGGCAACAATCGATGGGAGCTAGAGAAGTGACTAGCTTTGTTTTTGGTAAACATATCGATATGCCATGAGAAATAAGCAACAGATGTGAATGAGAGACGACTACATGCACGAAAATAGTATATATGTATCATCATTGCATAAATATATCACATCGATTGTTTCCATGGTTATTAATTCATAAATGCAAAGATAATATATAATAATATCTTATGTACTTGATACTATTTTTATTAATTGCAATTTGCAATTTTAATAAATTATTGCTGCTCGCGCGTACACTATCGATATTACTATCGATATGACACACTTTCGATGCCTTCACGCAGTCACTCCTTTGGCTTTTCGCAACACTAACAACATTTTGGCGGGACTTGTAAACAAAAAGCAAAATATGGATAAATTTTTAATTAAAAAACCAATAAAGCCAGAAAATAATTATGTAAATGAACAAGTAGGCGCCCCAGATGACAAACTTGCTAAAAAGCAACTTCAGGCTGTGGAAGTGATGGCCAAGCGTAAAAATCAAAATACGCCAGACCTGGTAAGCAAGCAATTTCAAAACTAAACCACATACATATCTATGTATGTATATTTATGATATTAGTATTTGTTTTGTATTTCATAGGTCAAGGATAAGGAGAACGCAGAGGTTGAGAATCCGCCCAAACGAAGAAGCGCTCGTCTCACTCGAAGCACCATATCCATGGCTGAAGAGGGCACACCATCACCGGAAAAAGAAAAGCCTGAAAAGCTGCCATTTATCAAATATCGTGGTGCCATCAAGTATTTTACAGAGAGTCACGAAATAGCTGAGTCTGCCGATGCAGTCATGTAAGTATGGGCTGCCACCTAAATTGAACTATACAGATTACTCCTTTGCAGGCAATGGGTGGATAAACATACCCATCTAGATGTTGTACCCATGGCATTCGATATGGAATGGCCATTCTCATTTCAAACCGGTCCTGGCAAGTCGTCAGTCATACAGATTTGTGTGGAGGAGAAATGCTGCTATGTCTACCAGCTGAGTAAATTAAAGAAGTTGCCAGCCGCCCTAGTGGCCCTGCTGAATCATCCCAAGGTGCGCCTGCATGGCGTCAATATAAAAAGGTACTTATAGACTTAGAAATGTCGAAGTTATGAGGGAAAAAACAAACAATCTCTCCCCGTTCACCACATACTTAATAGCTTTTAAATCTTTTATAAAAGTAATATAATTTCAATAATTCATGGTTAAAAGGAAAACGTTCTCAAACTGATTTTTCATAATATCGAAATATTTGATATTATGGACTAGTTGGTTCTTTCAATAAAGATGTGAATACCCTTTCGACAAATATCAACAAATGTTTACAAATTAAGTTAAGTTACGTATGTATTGCGTACTGCAATTTTTATCTAACACATATTTTTATTTTCTTCTCTTTCGCAGCGACTTCCGCAAGTTGCAGCGCGATTTCCCGGAAGTTTCTGCCGAACCATTAATAGAGAAGTGCGTTGATTTGGGCGTTTGGTGCAATGAGGTTTGCGAGACTGGTGGTCGCTGGAGTTTAGAACGCTTGGCTAATTTCATAGTTAAAAAAGCCATGGACAAGAGTAAAAAGGTGCGCATGAGCAAATGGCACGTCATTCCATTGGATGAGAATCAATTGATGTATGCCGCCATCGATGTTTATGTAAGTTCGATGAATGAGTTTGGATCCAAGCCGAATCTACATAAACTTTTCAATTATTGCAGATTGGTCAAGTCATCTATCGCGAGATTGAGAGACGCGAGAAGGAAAAATTAAAAAATGAGACGGAATTTAAGGAACAAAATGGAGAGGCTGCATTCAAGGCCGTAAAAGCGTTGGGTGAAAATTTTCTCAGCAAGATCAGTGAAGTCACTTTATAGGTACAAAGAATATTTGCAATATTTTATAAAATGTGTATGCTAAAACCAACTGTTTGACTTTAAAGACTTTTTTAAAATGCTAAAGTGCTGTTCTTTTATTTATTTCATAGCATGACACCTACTCTATATATTACAATTAAAACTACACAGTGTTTTTACGTTTTTAACCTTGCAATAAATTTTAATTTTGTAAATTCGTTTTTAACATTCCTAAATTAATCGCCAATTGAGCGCATAAAAGTGCCTCATTTAAAGATCGGCCTACGCGTTCCAATGGCTTCCAACTTGCGCTTGAGCACATCGTTGTCCATATCGATCTGTCGCTGATATTTCTTGCGATTCACGGCCGCACTTGTAGTGCGCGTAGAGGGCGGTGGAAGCTTCTGCAAAGTAGCCCTTAATAAGGAGGCGAAAGCACAGCGAGAATCTCACAATTAACCTACCTTCTTGGCCTGCTGTTGGTTGCTAGCCGGCTGGGCTGGAGTCGCCTTAATGGTCGGCTTTATGGTCATCATTTTCTTGAGAAGTATATGATTCTGGCGCTCGATTTCGCGCACTTGGGCATTGGTGAAGCTGAAGCTTTTGCGACCTAAATTCTTGTAGCTAAGCAAAGAAGCCCATGATCAATAGACCTCAAGTTTAGTCGATAATGCATCCGATACTCACTTGACTTTGTCTGTGGAGGAGCGGGGACGCTTGAGATCGATGTGATAGGCGCAAGAATCACTATTGAAACTAGTGGGAGTCGCGCTGGAAACACGACAATTGACCTCATGTGGATAGTGTCGTTGATGATGATGGTGATGCCGCAGGCCATCGCCCTGGCCGCACTCGTCTAGCAGAAATCCCGGATCCAGACCTGTAATCGTACCCTTACCTTCCACAAGCGTGGGACAACGACACTTCGGCCTTTGCAGCTTAGCCGTACGCACGGTATTCAGTGTCTCCATGGAGCTACGCAAAGGATTTGGCGATGTTATGTTATCTGTATCACAGTTTGGCTCTATCGATTGGTCCGTTTCGGGTCGACTGGGTTCCGACTCTGCTATTTCCTCGTCTGTCTCTTCGGGCAACAGCGGCAGCTCATCGCTTGATCCAAGCTGAGGACGCTGTGCCAGCAGCTCTGATGCACGATTCAACTGCTCCATGGGGTTGTCGTTGGGTGCATCGCCACTTATGCGAAACGATTTCATAATCATCTCAGACATCTGGGACATTTGTTGTTCCAGAAATTTAACAGCGGCTGCATCGGCCTTGAGCGCATCTAGACGTTGTGTAACCATGCTCTCATCAGCCGCATCATCGTCCTCGTCGTCGTCTTCATCCTCCTGTGCGGTGAGAAATTGTTCTATGTGAGAGTTGGTGCTGGCAATGGCTAGCTTATCCTTCTCGTAGGTATAGGTTGGTAAGGGTTTTCTTGCCGAAGCCTTCTGTACTTTTTTCGGAATCTTTGTCTTGCCAAAATGTTTCGTGGGCTGCGCTGCAACACTGTCTGATTCTCTTGGCGTCAATGTGATGTCCGTTTCATTGCCTTCTCCCGCACCAGCTTTGGCACGATTGGGCTGTCTCTTCGAATTCAGTCCGGGCTCAAAGGTATCCACACTATATCCATCTGTGTCCTCACCATTTTGTAGATCAATCGCATTGTCTGCCTGTTCCTCATCGGAATCCTTCTGTTCCTCTCCCTCGGTGTCGGTCTCAGGGTCACTTTGCTCCTCCTCCTCCTCTATCACTACCCTTCGACCCATTCGAACATCACTCAATTCCCCATCTTCATCATGTTCTTCGACATCTTGTTCGTCCTCATCTGGGTACTCCACATACTGCTCCTCTTCGGCTTCTTCATCAACTTCTAAGAACTTTTCATATTCAATATCCTCATCATTGACACGACGTTGCACAACGTCCTCATCATCATCATTATGCTCCTGATTATCACTTTCGTCCGTCTCCTCTTCCTCTTCGTCAATATCTGGCTCGTTGACCATTAATTCACCCGCTCGACTGCTCATGGGAACGAGCGTACGTACAGACGGCGTATCATCGTCTGTTTGCTCCACACTTAGCGTCATTCTATTTACTTCCACCACTGTCTTGGTGCGGACCACTCTACCCTCATCTTCGGATGAGGAACTGGGATAGGCCATCATGCGTTTGCGATTGAAACCGCCACCAGAGAGCTGGTTACTATAAATCTGCTGACGGCGAGCATGTGGCTGTGGGTGTAGTTCGTTGGGCTTAGCATTACCAAGGCTAAATTCTTGGATTATCAATTCCTGTGGGGGATTAGTGGTCGGACTTACGTTGCCCCGAATGAATTCGGCTTCGACATCGCTCTCACTGGGTGTATCGCTCTCGGCCTCTGATTCTACAGCCTCGGAATCAATAGCTTCGGACTCCACAGCTATTGTCTCCTCCACTTCTTCCACTTCCTCCTCTTCATCGCCAAATTCTTCAAGCTCCGATGTGGAGTCCTCCTCAAAGGCATCATCATTATAAAGGTCATCGTCGGAATTCGCTGGTGCTTGCGTCATTTTATTTTATAAATATAGAAAGGTTGAACTCCCAAATGATGTTCAACTCTTGTAGTTGGTGTGAATGTGTGATTCCTAATATTTGTTTCTTAATGTGTTGTTTGCTGTAGTCTTTATTGTTGCTATTGTGTGGCAGCGCAAAACTAAAGTTGTTCGTTTATAGAGAGATACGGTTCGGTTGTATTTTTTCAAAAAACCTGATAAATAATATAATACGTGTGCCTTTCTGTAATATTTGTAGAGAACTGCCGAAACTACGAAATACAAAATACTGATAATTTTGACATAATCGACATGTGAGAGTTGTGTGAAATACAGCCTTCTGGATTGATGCTTTCATATAGAAAAGCCCACACAACTTGGCTAGGATGTGTGACCTATTTGATTGACATCTGCTGATATACAAAGACGGGTGGACGCGTGGGGTGGCCATGCCACCTGACCCTCCATCCAGACTGGGGACGGTCGAGGGACCTCCTTACAATGTCCGTGGTAATGGTTTAATTCCCTATTCCTTTCCTTTTCGCCAGCTATTTATTCACACTGTACACTTCTTCCACTGTTACTTGACTTTATTTTGCCCAACATTGGGCGCCTCAACTGGCTTGGCACCTGACCAAGTTCTGTTTATTTATTTACACACGGCTGGTTGCCCATAACAACGAAGGCGCAGGCGCAAGGATTCTTCATTCCAGCCATAGGATTTGTGTGGTAAACAATATATTGCAGGCTCATTAGTTTATGGAAGGGCTAAATAAGAAGTTAGGTATTGTAAATACAAGTACTTAAAAAACATATCTTTTGTGTTTCATAAGAGTATACATATACAAAACGATTTGGAAGCACATTCATGAAGAGATAAATCGATAGAGACTTAACCGTCTGTCCATATTTTGAGCCATAAAAGCTGACAAACCACTATAGCCTGGAAAATAATTAATTTGTATTAAAAACCATATTTAACTAACTAGATCAGACTTCATCGGACACTATGTACATCGACAGCAGATTTTGAAGAGGTTTGGTTCCAAACTGAACTTACGTTTCGTACCATACTTATAATCTTATTTAATAGATTCCTAGATTTAGAAAAGTGCTTAAAAGAAAGTTTTCCTGTTTAAATTAATTCGTTTAAAAGGTAAAAGTTTTCAGAAGTAAAAAGAGAACACATGTATTAAAATAAAATTGAAATTCATTTGGTGGAGTTTATAATCAGAGCAGTTTGCGTAATCAACGTTTTTTTTTATATGGTGATACCCCTAGCTTGTCAAAAAAATCGGTCATTTTTGACTGTTTAGTGTCTCTTAAAGCTTCTTTGTAGCATTTCTTATAAGGTAAAAGAATTTTAGCCAATTCTCTCTTAAACTTTAATCGTCTTTCGATGAGCGGATCAGAATTTACAAACAATGACTCCAAGCTGGTAGCATATCCGAATCCTTCTTGAAGTGTTTGTATGGTTAAACTATTTATCGGAGCAGGGTTTTCATTCTTTAATGCAAAAGTTCGACTTGGCATTTTTTCCCACCAAAGTCCAGTCTCATCAGCATTAAAAACTTGGTCAGTAATGTATTCCTCTTCTTTAATGAATCCTTGTATTTCTTGTGGGTATGTGGTGGCAGTTCCATCATTACCCGATGCCGCTTCGCCTTTAATTTTTGTGGTATGAATGGAGAACCGTTTTTTAAATTTCTCGAACCATCCATTACTGGCAAAAAAATTTGTACTGGAAGAGGGCTCTCCATTTTGCTTGAGGAGCTCAAAAATTCTGAGCGCCTTCGCCTGAATAATTTTCTGGCTTAAAGGAATCCCGGTTTCGTGGCTATCATCAATCCAAATGCTAAGCTCTCTTTCCATTTTCTCTAATATAGGTGCACGTTTTCTACTAGTAAATTTTGTAGATATAGATGACCCACTACTTGCTGCGCGTCTTATCTCAGTTTCATTTCTTTTAATAGTGCGAACTGTTGATTCATTTAAGTCAAAACTTCTTGCAATTTCGGTGGCAGTTTGCGCTTTGTCAAAGCGGTTAAGAATTTCCACTTTTGTTTCTAAAGAAATAACTTTTCGTTTTAGAGGTAGTTTCTTTCCTTTTGGTGCCATTGTAGAAACTGCAATTTGTATAAATCACTTTTTAAAATTTGTTTTAATTTAGCTGTAAAACCATTTCACTTACCACAAAAATTTTAATCTTTATATGTACGCGTCTGAAAATGTAAATCTTTGTTCCCCTTAACAATTACTCATTCTCGCACTGAACGAGGCAAATTTTTAATCGTGTTAGACCGAGTTCGTATTTAAACAGGTCGTGTTAAGTGAGGGTGCTAGGTGTATTTTTCTTCCTCTATTTCAAGTTTAAGCCATATCCGTTATTCCTAAGAAAAATTATACGTAAAAAAATTTTACGACACTGATATGCCCCACACACTGCAGGATTGGGTTCGCAACAATTCTCCTGTTTCTGAGATAATAGCAATAACTTCCGCTGACATTGTAAGAGCTGCAATTGTTATTAATATCTATTTTGGCGACCGACTACATTGAGCAACATAAACAGATGCGCCGACTCGAAACATATGGGAACTGATTTAGTTCAGGATAGAGCTGCCAGATCACAGATAGTTACAACCATATGTAAACGGAACTAGTTCCTGGCAGAACTACGAGCGAAATGGCCACGAACTTATGGAGCCAATTCGCTTAAGGTGGATTTCTTTAATAGGGTTACCAGCTTACAAATTTTAAATTTTGTATTTGGCGCGCAAATGTCGAAATAAAACTAATAGCTGCATAAAATTATAAGGCAAATATAAAACAAGTAATATGCAATATGTACTGTAATTAATCTTTCAATAATTACACACAACAAGTAAGAGCTATGAAAACACATGAACGACAGAATTGTCACGCGAAAATCTGTCTGTTGGTTTTTTTCTATATTCGTTTGCTTCCATGGCGATTGTCTTTTGTCAAAACATAATTACGTGATAGTCGTGAATTAAAATGAAGGAGCAGCGTAAAATGGATATAAAGTGAAAATGGAAAGAAACATGAATACATTAATATCTGATAAGATACTTACTAGAGTAGACTAGATTGTACAAAATGGTATTTGTATAAAAAGGTAAAGTTTAAAAAGTTAACAAATCAAAATATATATAATATACGCATATCCATACTATAGTTATAGTCCTACATCACTATCAAATAATAGCCAAAATCGGTAAGGAGTTTTGTTTAATTCCATTAGTATTTTCCTCTAAAGGTGAAGAGTCTTGGTCAGCGGCATACAAGATGCTCCAGCGACTAATTAGTAATTACTTAATATAAAATATTTAACATCCAAACTTTAATTCAATATTTTTGAGAGAAAAATTAAGCTGCATTGCCTTATATTATTTTCGTCAATTTTTAAATTTAGCTTATATTTGATTGTTGAGTGCATTTATTTAGTACACGGATGCCAGCAATAATTTTAAAAGGACTTTGAAAACATTTGACGTGTCAAACCCCTGCAGAAAGCTCTCTTGGCGGCGCCTTTGTGCAAAAGCTCTCTCCGACGCTCTCTCTCTCTCGCAATTTTGACAGTTGAATGAAAGCGGATAATTGTCGGCAGCGGCAACTGGCAACTTCACATGTAAATAATGGCCAGGCAGAAGTCAATTCGGAGCGCTCGTTTGGGACTAATGCGCACGTGCCCAGAGAGCGTCAGAGATCCGCCACGCCACGTGCGAGCGGAGCGATGAGTATGAATCTGGCCAGCGGGCACTTCATTTGGCCAAGAAGCTTCGTGGCGTACGGGCGTGTTTTCGTGTCGAAAAATGCGCGCGTAAAACTGATAACAAAAAGAAAAAACAAAGAAAAAAAAACAGAAAAAGAAAAATATAAAAGCATAAGGAAACAAGTGTACAAACACACAAGTGGCCATGTGCGAGTGCTAAGAAAAGAATAAGGAAAAATAAATTTATATAAAGCAACAGAGCAGAAATTACAATCATAATATTTATAAGACGCATAACACAAATGCGCTGCATAATCCTACGAAAAGGCTAACAGCAACAACAACGAAAACAAACGCAAGTAATTTTTGAAAGCCGAACTGGCATGCCGGCTAACAAATGCCGCGGGGTGTTGTCATCAAAAAGTGAAAGTTGAGGTCGTCTTAAAATAAAAATAAAATAAAAAACCAATTAAAAAGTTCAAAGAGCGCACATATACACACACACAAATGGAATTTTCTTATGAAAATATGCGTAGAAATTTGATGACATTTTTTGTGTCACTTCTTCCATCCGCCCCCTCGAACCTTTACTGTTTTAGCCTATTATTTAGCATGTGTTACCCGATCTAACTTGTTAAATCAATACGAGTTATTGTGCGTTGCTCAAACACGCACCAATGCCCAAGATTGTCGCTTACCATTGTTCATACGCCCCGTTAATCTAATTGGAAGGACACAGACAGCAAGCAGAAAGCAGCTTGCAAGAGCAAAAGCCGCCAAAAACTTTAGAACTTGTTTGTTTGTCTGTGGTGTTCTTGTTGTTGTAGTAGTAGTATTAAGTAATTGCAAATGGCGTGCACAGAATGGGAGTTAAAAGTTTATTTACATTTTTCACTTTATTTTATTTATGTTGTTTCATTTGTTGCTGACCAAGTTGCAAGTAAAGCAACAGCGACTAAGTAGTTACTTAATTTGGCTAAAAGCCGAGTCTAGGTCAAAAGCTACAACACACGCTATTTATATACGTACATACATACATATATACAGTTGACTGCGAGCAGAGACCAAAAATTCAGTCTGCGGCGGAAATGGCAACAACAACGGCAATTACAACAACAGCAGTTCAAAAGCATAATGCTCAGGCGTGGGCGTGCTTGGCATAAAAAGGAGTAAAAGTTGCCGCTTGCTTCCTGCTTTCCCATTTCTTGTGCTTTCTAGCATGCTTTACCTTCTCTTTTTTATTTGTATTTCTTTCGTTCGCTCGTCTCTTTTTTTTTATCGATTTTCAACACTTGACTAGCAGCAGCAACAGCGAAGGAAAGCAGTCAAGCAGGCAATGCGGCCGGCTAATAATACTCAAATGTGTAGGCAACGGTTTTTGGTGACGTCGACGTCGACTGAGTGAGTAGGTCAGCCAGCTGAGAAGCAACAGAGTGGCCAAAGTTTAGTAAAATAAAAATGAAAACTGGCACAGCCGCTGGCAGCAGCCTTAAGTTGAAATGTGTGACATAAAAATAGCCCACAAACTTACACACACACACGGACTCAAATACACACACGCACACATAGAGGTTTACCCCATCAGGCAACGCAGCGTAAACTTCAAACGCGCTTGGCCTACTTTTCTGCACGCCACTGCGATGGCAACTCTAATGGGTTGGGACGTCGACCGCAGTCGCGTTAAATGAAGCACAAGCCAACGCAAAGCAAGGCAAGCGACGTCAACGTCAGCGTCAACGTCAACGTAAACGTCACAAGCAAATAACCAAAGAGAAGGAGGCATGGCATGGCACGGCACGGCAAGAATGGGCAGTGGCCATCAGCACGTCACCCATGAAACGCGCGTTAATCATACGCATGGTGTGCCAATCAGTGTACGACGGCAAATGTTGTGTCAATCTGCCGTTTAATTGACAGGCTCAGCCTACGCCTGCATTCACGTACACAAAAGCACGCAGAGTAAAAACAAAAGCACGGTACTGACCATGACTGCATTTCTAGTGTTGCAACAACAATAACAAAACGCAGCTTAGAATCAGTAGTGGGTGGCAGTATTGAGGCAGATTTGCGTGTAAAAAGCTAAAGTTATCTAATCAGTTGCTGATTTAATTGGCTTACATGTCAAAACAGATATTAGAAAAGCGTAATAAAATAAAATAAAATACATTGACAATTTTACATCAGGAATGTAATGCATAACTTAACAATTCAATTATTTGCAGATACGAATTGAAAGTAATTAAAACAGTTCATAATTTAATTGTAAGTTCCTTACATTTGGCTTACATGTCTCGGGGTTCAATTCAAAACAGATATTAGAAAAGCGTAATAAAATAAAATAAATTGACAATTTTAGATCAGGAACGTAATGTATAACCTAACTTTTCAATTATTTGCAGATAAAAAGTTAAAGTAATTAAAAAAGCTTTTGATTTATTTGTAAATTCTTTATATTATTGGTTTACATGTCAAAACAGACATTGGAAAAAGAGAAATCAAATAAAATAAATGAACAATCTTGGGAATGTCATAGCTTACTGCAACACTTTCTGCTTTCAAATAACTTATGCAATTACTTTTATTTTGTGCTGGTGCTGCAAACTTCCATATTGCCTTCAGCAAAATGACAACATACATACTCATATTAATTAAACGAAGTTTTTTCTTTGAATGAAATAGAATAAATTCGCATATTTGCAAACAATTTTTAAATATAATAATTCCATTATTATTATTATTACTACATATTTAAATACAATTAAAGAACATTTAATTGAATTTATTAAGGGAAACACATCTTATTTCCAACACTTTATTAATGTTATTTGTTAATTAATTGATTTAAATGATAAAAGTTATTTATAAACAATTAAACATAGTACATCATATTTTTGATTTGAGTTCTAATCTTTTTACATGTCAAACTCTTCAACACCCTGGATCCTTGCCACCCTAGAGCCTTTTACTAAAATGATCTTTGTTGTTCAAATTATTCCTATAACAGCTTTAAATTGTTTACCGACTTTGATAGCATTTTTAATTATTGTGGACCTCAAATAAATATTCAATTTCATAAATATTAAATTTGGTTGTGTAACCGAAATAAACAGACTAGAGTCATTTTTGTGAGCTAAATATAAAACGAATGTTTTATATGGTTCGTAATAAACTTGCAAATAGATTAGATAAGACTGCATAGTAAAATTGCTGGCCCTAGCTGTTGTGGATCAAAAGTTCCAAGTGTTCATACAAACGGACAGACGGAAGAAGCTAACATGCCTGTATCGATTCGAACATGGGGTCTACCACATCCGCTTTGGCCTTTTACTTTTATTATTCAGACCTTATATTATAATCTCTTACACTTCAGGTACATGGTATACATATTTGATTTCAATTAATATTTTTATAGCCTGTACCCAAAGGGTGAAAGGCTATACTAGTTTTGTGCGCATGTATGTAACACACAGAAGGAGGCGTGGCAGACCCCACAAAGTATATATATTCTTGATCAGGATGAGAAGACGAGTCGATATAGCCATGTCCGTCTGACCGTCTGTCCGTCTGTCTGTATGAGCGCAAGGATCTCAGTAAGTACAAGAGCTAGGATAACCAAAATTGGTATCAAGGTTCCTATAAGCCCTAGGCAGAACGAGTTTGTTTATTTTTTCTGATACACCACCCCACTCCCCCGCAATTAGTATTTTTTCTTATAACTTCCGTAATTCTCGGAATTTAAAATTTTGGTGGGTACATCCAGTTAGTACGAATGTGTCCGTGTGCCAAATTTCATCATGATAGGTCAATTCTGAAGAAAGTTATAGCCATAAGTAAAATCGCTGCTCATGCGCTGCCTGCAGCTCTGTCGGCAGCGCTGCCCGCAGCTGTTGTTGTTGTTGCTGCTTTTGTTCAACTTTGTGCTGCATACATACACGCATATGAACACGCATAGGTACGTGATGTAAATGTATGCTGTTTAAACTGAACATAAACATGTATTCTAATTTAATTTAATTAATTATTTTAATTAATTCATTCATTCATTTTTTTTAATAATTTAATTTTTAAAATTTTTTTTTTTTTTTTAATTTTTCCTTTTTGTGGAGAGTACAGGCTATTTTACTGTCGGGCTTGCTCGACTGTAGCGTTCTATCTTGTTATTTTTACGTTTTAGTACTGCTTTCAAAAATTCGTTCTCTTTTTATTGCATGTCTTTTATTTAATGGCCCAGTCTTTTTCACTATTTACGCGTATTAGTCCCTGTTAGTGACAGTCATTAAATTTCAAGTTCATTTCAGTCGCCATTTGAAGGCTCGACCCGCAATGTGTTTAATAGCGCTGCAAAGTATGCAGCATTAAATGCAAAAACTGCTGCGTCTCGCTCAACACTTTCCAATTAGAAATTGCGGGCATTTCGAGGAAGGTAGTCGGTAATAGGTAGGCAGTCTGGCAAACATGCGTGGCACGTGAGCTGCAAGGCAAAAGCAACGCTCATCTGTACACATTGTATGTGTTTGTTCTTTTTTTATACCTTTTGTGTGTGTGTGTGTGTGTGCGTTCGTGCATGCGTGTGTGTGCATATAAATTACGAAAACGTGCAAAAAGGTGCCATTAAAAAACGCAAACACACGCGGTTCGTATATATGCATGTATATACTCGCACATGCTCTGTGTATTATCTATACTATTCAAACATACATACATACATATATACACACACATATGTATGTATGTGTAAGCTAAAGAACCAACAGCTGCAATTTAAATTTGTGCTCCACGCCAATAAGTAAAGGCGCCAGGCACGCAAATCGCGAACATGTCCGCATCTCTCGCTCCAAACCGTTAAATTACGCGTAGCCGCGTGAGTCACGACCTTCGCAACAGCTACAACAGTAAAAGAGAATACACCCGACGGGAGAGTGGGAGAGTGGGAGAGCGGGAGAGACCGTTTACCTAAGTGCTTTTTGCAATAATTGCAGGTGGCGGGAGCTGTAGTCGATGATTATTATGTTGGTGCCGGGAGCAGTGTCAGGCAATGGGACTGATGCGTGCCAGAGTCATGTGAATAACTGTAAATGCAATAACAGTAAAATCAACGGCGACAGTGACGACGACAGTAACAGCAACAACAATAGCAGCAACAGCAGCAATACAGGCATTGGCATTTGACGCAGCAATTTACAACAACAACATTATTACAAAACAACAACAAAATTAACATCTCTAGCGATAACAGCAATAACAACAAGAAAAACCGCATTGCCAAACAGCACCACCCGCATAATAAAACGGCACGCAAAGTGCGCGTCGCGTCATGTTAGCAGCAACAACAGAAACAGAAACAAAAAGAACAACAACAGCAACCAATTATCAAGCAACAACCAACAAGTCAAAAGTTCTAACCACAGGCCACAAACAGCAACAGCAACAAAAACGAGGACAAAACCAGCAACAACAACAACAACCACCTTCAGCAATTCTTGCACGTCATGGTACTAAGCACCGAATGGTCTCAAGTGGAAGTTATCGATCTGATCAACGATGGCAATGGTCTTGGCTTCATACTCGTCGGTGGTCGGAGCACCGGAGTTGTCATTAAAGCCCTCACACCCGGCGGTGTCGCTGAGCGGGACGCGCGACTTCAATTGGGTGATCATTTGCTACAAATCGGCGAGGTTAATCTGCGGGGCTTTAGCTCGGAGCAGGTGGCCACAGTTCTTCGTCAGACCGGAGCTCAGGTGCGTCTGATTGTGGCACGGCCCATTGAGCCGACGGCCATCGATTATCAAACGTTGGCCAGTCATGCGCCCATTATACCAACTAAGCTCCTCTCCGACCCGGAAGAACTGTCGCGGCATCTCTTTCAGAATCCGAGCTTTGCCACAGCGGCCATTGCCGCAGCGGCAGCAGCTGGTGGCGTTCCCAACATCGATAGCATCGACGTGGCCAGCGTACTGGGGGTTGTAAGGGGTGGGCCCGAAGACGGTATTGGCGGAAATTTGGGTGAGGTAGTGGGCTTACCGTTTTTACCTGTTACGCCCGATGCAGAGCTGGCCGATCTGCCATTGCCTCCCATACCCGCCGATGCGACGCATGATGGGGCCGCACAGATGCGTCAGTGTGGGCGTGACTTGGATATTGTACCCTTTTCTATACTATCGCCACCTCCGGGGCCATTGGCGACAAATACGAATATGTCCGCGGTCGCCCGTAAGTCTCTGCAGCTTCCCCTTCATCCGCTGGACGCGCAAGTACCGCGAAGACAACGTCAGGGCTGTAACTTCAATAACGAACTTGTTGGTGACGATGATGACGATGAAGACGACGACCACATTGAGACTGTGATAGCCGGCATTAGTGCCGACAAACTAACCACGACCACGACCACACCCACTCCCGTGGATGCCCAGCAACGGGATGATAATGATCTCGACTGCTGTTCGCTCACATCGTCCAATTATATGGACTCGCCCGAAACTGAAACCTACGAAGTGGAGCTTCGCAAAAACGTTTACGGCCTTGGCATAACGGTCGCCGGTTACGTATGCGAAGAGGAGGACCTCTCCGGTATTTTTGTCAAGAGCATCATTGAGGGCAGTGCCGCTGAGATGAGCGGTCAAATACAGATCAACGATCGTATTGTCGCTGTTGATGGCCTCACATTGGCCGGTGTGACCAACCATCAGGCTGTGGAACTATTGCGTAACACGGACATTGAGGTCCATTTGACCCTCGAACGGTTTCTGCGCGGTCGCAAGTTTGAGCATCTGCAAGTGGCCTTGACTGAGTTGAAGGGCGGTGGTGATACACAATCACAGCTCTCCATGCCCGCGTCACCATCGATAACCACGCTGTCCTGGCTGCCGCCCAAATCGGATGCGGACTCCATAGCCACGGATGGGGATTTGGGCGGTGGCGGTCTATTGCTAGATTTCGGCGAGCTACCCTCCAGAGATACTGTAGACTCCAATATGTCGCATGTACTGGATCGCAGTGAGGCGAGTGGCGGCGCTAGTGCCGGAGCGGCGACAAAACGTCAGAAAACGCCCACAACGCCGGATGCGAAACGTTTGACCAACGGCAGTGCGGCTCATATTATGGGCAATGGCTTAAATCATATAGATAAACAGACTGTGGGCGATGACAGTGGCAATGACACCGATGAGCAGTGTCAAGAGCCTGAGATGGGCGGGCCGATGCCTACGGATGAGACAACGCCCACGGCGCAAATGCCCGGAGTGGCGCTAAAGAGCGGCGTAGCAGCGACGCCGACGACGGCAGCAACAGCGGCCACGCCCAATTCGTCGACGGCCAGCCCAAGCGCGGCCTCGTTGCGTGTGGCCTGGAAAAGTGAGTTTCCCGAAAGTGAAATTTTAGTTGCCGAAATAAATAAACTTTCAGGTCTAGGGATCAGCCTGGAGGGCACCGTCGATGTCGAGTGCGGCATTGAAAAGCGTCCGCATCATTATATACGCTCGATCCTTGAAGATGGTCCCGTCGGACGTCAAGGTATATTGCGGCCCGGAGATGAGTTGCTGCAGGTGAACGAGCATAAGCTGCAGGGCCTCAAGCATATCGAGGTCGTCAAGATCTTGAAGGAGTTGCCGGCACGCGTTAAGCTCGTCTGTGCACGCGGTCCACGCGCTCCTTCCATTATAAATACCTCACAGAACCCGGAGGCCTTCGAAACGCGCAGTCTGCTACCCGGCGGACATCAAAGTCTACAGAATCTTCTAACCAAAGCCCAATCGGAGAGCTCATTATACACATCCAGTACGGCCACCTTAACCGATGCCCAGCGCTCGAAGTCACTTGAAAATGTCTCCGGGCTAGCGCTCTGGAGCTGTGATGTAACCACAGTGGAAATTGAAAAGACAGAGCAAGGCTTTGGCTTCTCCATACTGGACTATCAGGATCCATTAGATGCGGAGGGCAGTGTGATTGTGATACGTGGCCTAATACGCGGTGGTGCTGCGGAGGCAACAAATGAAATCTATCCGGGTGACCGTCTAATCAGTGTCGGAGAGCATATGCTGCAGGGTCTCGAACTGGATGAGGCTGTGTCCATACTTAAGGCTATGCCCCTGGGCATAACACGACTTGGCATTTGCCGACCACTCTCCACATCCGATAGCAATAGCAATATAGCCTCTCCCCTGGGCGACTCGGCGAGCACATAGTGCCTGCGGCCAAGCTGAGATTCGTGTCTGCTGCTAAAATTCATGGGTAAGTCCAGAATTTTTGCTACTCAATAATTTATTTAAAGATGAGTTGGCTTACAAGCCACTGTGGTCGTAACTAGATTAAATTAAATAATACTCTTTATTTTACAAATTGTACACAACATGGTATTCTAGATTGGGATTGTACAAATTTTCTTCAAAGAGAAGATTTTGCATAATTATTTTAAATGTTTATTCGTGCTTAGCATGAGCAAAATGACTATATCAAAAGCTAGTCAAGCGCTAAGTTCATAATATTAAGAAAATTTTGTAGGTACCTGTAGTCCTTTATAGTACGAAGTTAAGTTCACGTTAATAGTCAGTGAAAAATGGTCTTCAGCACTCCTTATATAACTGGCACACTATTGTAACTAACTGGTCTCTCAATTTTAAACTAATGATCAGAATATCGAGAACTTATCAACTCAAAATACTTAGGCCCCACTTACACCATTTGATATTTCGCGAACTAGGACTATCTTATGTTCGGTCGCACGTACAAATAATTTGCATCAAAACACATACAGTCATTTGTTAAGTACGTACAATCTAGATTAGAAGACCTATTTTTATGAACAAATTATTCCCACATTAATGAGTGTAATTTAGGCATGTAAAAAAAATGTGTAACATTTGAATCTGACCAGAACATTACTGAAATAATCAATATGTCATTCAATCGGATTCACAAATTTAATATATTAGCTCTTATGTGGCCTTGCCAAGGAAAATGTTATTCTAATAAACAACAATTTAAACACAAAAAAAAAACCGATTTCAAACTATTAACAGGCACTAAAAAGTTAAAAATAATTGCGTATTCTTCTACAACTTAATATTCAATTTATAATGTAGATACAATTATTGTTCTTTTTGGAGTCGGTGTTCGTCATTCTTACGGTAATTCCTTGTTTAATGTTGACTATATTTTCGTATCAGCATTTCCTTGATTACCCGTATGTCTCAGCATAGTGTCGTATTAAAATTCGTTTGATTCGTTTAACTAGGTCCCGGTTTATTTGTTGTTTCAAGGTAGCAGATATTGTCACAGTAGTTATACGTGTATTGTCCTATAAAAGTTAACTTGAAATTGGGTTTAATTAGGTATTGGTAATCTGTCACAGTATATTGTCGTTCGTATAAAAGTTAATTTGTAAAAAAAAGTATTTCTTAAAGTATTCTCATATTATTACTGGTAGATTGATTGATTGATATATTGTAGTGTTTCCTTGGCTGACACCGACTCCAAAAATAACAATAATTGTATCTACATTATATTTTGAATATTAAGTTGTAGAAGAATACGCAATTATTTTTTACTTTTTAGTGCCTGTTAATAGTTTGAAATCGGTTTTATTTGTGTTTAAATTGTTGTTTATTTTTGGATTTTTAGTGAATGTGAAGTACACTAACTAATGTGTATGAATATGGGTAGACCTAATAAACGTGTTTCTCATATGAGACAGCGCCGCTTAAATGAAGCAAAAGAAGTCATGGAGAAACTCGGTTAAAAATATCCTAGTTTTATGGCTTTGAAATAATATTTTTTTCAATAAAAGAGTTCCACAATATCTTAGAACAAGTTTTGCTTGGCCTATGATTGTTTTCCAATTGAAATGTACTTGTATATATAAAGCTGGGAATCGTCCTGAAATGTTGGCCATAATTCACTTAGCAAAGTTTACAATCTGGTAAAAATGACAAACGCTGTATTTCAATATAATAAGCTTAAGCTTAACTTCATACAAGTACATTTATATTAAATTTATAATCAAATTGGGAATCTGAAATTTGTTTCAATTGCTTAAAATGTTCTTCAACCAACCAACCGAATATTTGGAGAAGCATTGTTAGTCCAAGTCTATCAGAAACTTTAACAAAAATTGCACAAAGGAGACATTTTTTATTAACATGTTTAAAGAATTGTTGGTATTTAAAATACTCTCGCAGGTACACAATATTATACGTATATTTATTTAAATAATTTATTTCGATATTAAGGTGAACAAATGTGATTCGACGTGAAAGCATAGATTTAAGTGAGTTTGTGCCAGTGCTGGTCACAGCTGGCATTTGCTCAATCAATATAAAAAGCATTGGCAATATTAAATTCACTGTTCGCGCACCTGTCGCCTGTTGGTTTCGATTTCGTTTTTCTGCACCCACTTTTGTTGCTGCTGTTGTTTTTGTTTTTGTTGTTATTGTTGTGGGGCTAATCAAAGCGCAGCTCGTAAGACCCCCGCGGGGCTCCCGGGGTGCCTGTCACTAGCAAATGCTTCCGCATCAATAGGCTGCAATCCGAATTGGTTTTCCAATACTTATGTGTAGGCTCTTTTTAATTGCCGTCCATTGCCACGCCCCTGCACGCCTCCCACCGTGACTCAACAAAAAAGGTATTCCAATTTTATTGCTGGCAGGCATAATTTAAAGCTGTTGCTCATCACATTTAACATCTGATACCTGCTGCTTTACAGAAGCGTTTCACTCTCCTCAATTGGTCAGCTCGGTTGTTGTTGTTGTTGTTATTTTTGTTGTGGTTGTGCTTGTTGTTGCCTGTAAATGCTATTGACCAGGCCTTGTGCTTTTGTGCGCTTTGAGCAGAGCTCATCCACTCAGATACTCAGCCACTTGTTGTGTGCCCTTTTATTTTCCCCCAATATATTCTTTTATTGCATAAATTTGTGCGCGCTCGCATTGATGGGACAAGGTAGACAGCAGGTACATACTTGTACATATCTGCTGTGTACAGACATACACACACACACACACACACACACAAGTGTTTGTGTGTGTATGTATTTACGGGTCTAAGCAATATAGTATATGAAGTCTCTGAAGGAATGTTTGGCATGCTTTAAAAAGTTGGGAATGCACACCAACGCCCTCAACAGCTACATACACAAGCATGATCATGTACGTGTGTGTGTGTGTATGTGCATGTGCGTACTATCTTTTAGTTTGCTCATTAAAATTGTAGGACAATACTTTACAAGTTCGCTCTTAGAGATGAGTGCGTGCAATAAATTCAAATAAATTTACATGCGGTTTAAAATATACTCAAAACTCTGTATACATTCGTAAAGAATGTAATACCGATAACATAAGAAATATTATGTAGCATAGCATATACATATGTACAAATACAGGATGCTACAGAAAACGGTAGACATTGATTTTTTCGAAATAGGTGCAATGGAATTTCGAGAGATTTCATTTTTCGAACTTTCCTTCCACGATAGCTGTCAGCAAAAGCTGTCGACGAAATAGCCGAGGGTTGCCAGCTCACAAAATTTAATCTGTCAGTTTAATTTTTTTATATATATTTTTTTGTTCTTTTTTGTGTTTTTGCGCACGCTTAACTCATGAAGAACATCAATATAAAATTTAAAGTTGCTGTTCGTCAAGCTATCCAATGCATATGACAGCCTTGTTAAGCTCATCATTTGTTCAGACACTAACATGCCAACTCAGTGACAGACATTTTCGTCAAGTTTCTTTAATTAATAAACAGTTTATTGATTTTGTGAAGTATGTGTATGTATACTCCTTTTTAATTTTACAAAATAATAATAAGAAATTATAATAAAAAAAAAAACGGGAAAAATGAACGAACTCGCCCTTTCGAGCTCAGGAGAATCTGTATACCAAGTTTGGTTATTCTAGCTCTTATACTTTCTAAAATTCTGGCGTTCATACAGACAGACGGACAGACAGACGGACATGGCTATACCGACTCGGCTTGTCATGCTGATCAAGAGCATATATACTTTGTGGGGCTGCCATGCCTCCTTCTGTGTGTTCCATGTACACTCGCACAAAACTAGTATACCCTTGTACCCTTTGGGCAGATTGTTGAGAAACACAATAAGGTGTACATTCCAATGATTGTTTTTATGTGGAAAATGTCTTTTTCTGTGTTTTTAATGAACTCTGTACACAAAACCTACTGAAAGAGATTTCTGTGGCATCAAAGATTTCTTTTTCGATTCAAATTTGGCTGAGAGAATTTTCTGTGGCACCCCCGATATGCTCGTAATATTTTTGTAAAAGAACCGCGATTTGATTGAGCATGAATTACCATTCATTTATTTTGAATTCAGATGCCCATCGTCGGAATTGGAGACATGCATTCATAATCAGCTCCAGGCATAAGGTGAAGCTCATTTCAAACACTGGGATGCCTATAGCGATAAACTATTTAATCAGTGTAGGCAGAGTCAAAACTATTTAAATTTTTTTTTGGAATTAATTTTATTTGCAAATTATTTCAATGTAGACAATAAATTAATTAACAGGACGCTTTGAGATGCAGTCAGTCCAATCCGTATTACCCTGAAACTGAATTTGATTATTTGCCATTATATTTAGACTTATAGTAGAACAGACGAAGAATTAAGCTCAGTAATGGCCCTAAACTCACGCTCATAATATCGTCTTCAAGCTAGCCCATATCCTTTATTTGTGAAGGTTGGTCGGTGTTTAGGTGCGTGTGTGTGTATACTTTTGGCACCAACATATGTTAAAAACTTTTAATACCCAAATGTTTCAACACCTAACACAAAACTTTAGCCTTGCCACATTAACTAAGTTTTCGAAGCCGAGCAGGAAGCTAAATGTGCCCTAGCCCCTAACCCCTCAACCCATGAACCCTAGAACCCCTCAAGACTCAACAATCACAGAGCTAGCTACGCTTTTGTCGCATAAATAATTCAAGCATAGATATAAATATAAAACTTTGACAAGACTGCCACGACGAGGATATGGGTTGGAGGAGCAAAGGAGCGAAGCAGCGAGGCAGCAGAGGACCGCAGGCTGCCTGCAAATTATCACTAATCTCAGGGGTCAACATGCTGCACATTAAGTGCTGTCAAGCATGTGTCTATATATAGCATATATACTTATCTAAGTATATGTATATGCATATGTGTATGTACATGTATATATATGTATATGATAGTGTGCGTACACACGCATCTCTGTGTGCGTGACTGTCTCAAGTCGTGC